AAATTTAACGTTAAGCAGTCCAAAGGCAACACAGCACTTGAAGTCTGTGCACAAGAAATACAATCTACTAATGACACTACAGTTAAGAAGCGTCAGTCTCTAGCTAGGATTCTGTTTAATAACATAAAGTCCAAGCCCGAAGTCTTTCAAACCCTATTTTTAAAGGGATTAATGAAAGATAATCCCGAAGCATATACACATATATAATGCAACTATTAAATAAGTCAGGTGTATCAAACGCACACGAGCGCACTCATGACACTCATGCAAAAGAAGGACAGGAGTCTGGAAACACTACAGACTTAGAGACCACGCAAGTGGATTCTCAACATCCTACCTTTATTCTGGAGGAGCAGAAGGATGAAAAAATTTCTTGCTTGGCTGACGCAAAACCATAAGCTGAAGCACCAGAACGTAGTAGACGCACTTAAAGATGCTAAGCGAAATGGGATCGCGCACCCTAAGCTGGCAACTTTAGTTGACAGAGTATATCAGTCATGTACAGACTGTGATCTCAACCAAAGTAAGCGCTATGAGTTCGCACCGCTTAAGAGTGTGACTGAAGATGTTCCATGGCGCAGGGTCATCATTGATCTGGTTGACCTGCCTACGTCCGAGCACACAGGCGACCGTTACATATGCCACTTCTTTGATGTGGCGTCACGGTATAACTTGCTCTATCCTTTAAAGGACAAGAGTACGCAGACCGTGGCAGAATTATGTTGCCCAAGTCTTTGCTGATCACGAGTGGCCGGGTATAATGTGTACTGATAACGGTAGCGAGTTCTGCGATGACGTAATGGAATTGTTAGTACTCGTATCAGGCATGTGCCATAAAAGGGGTGTACCATATAAATTGCAAACACAAGGCGCTAATGAAACGCGCCATAGAATACTTAAGTTATTCTTACGTACCGCATTGACGGATGATGCAGATGACTGGCCGTACCACCTTAAGTGGGTACAAACACAAATGAACGAGTGTGCTGATCCGGTTACAGGTACAACACCCGCTCACTATTTTCGTGGCAGATATAGTGAGTTACAAATACCTTTTAACAAGGACGAACCTAATCACCATGAGATACCATGGTTAGAGAAGGTACAACGTATTTATAACGTTGTATATCCTTGCTTGCGAGAAACACGCAATATTGCCTTATTAAAAAGGCAAAATTGATGGAATGCTACCAAAAAGATAGCAGAGTATCAGGTTGGAGACAGAGTTAACATCCGTCAACGTAATTCCGATGCTACTGTACTAACATCGAAATGGACAGGACCATACATATTCTCTGTAGCCGACACTAAAAGTGGAACCTATATGCCCGAAATTGCCGCCCAATGGCCCTGACCTCCTCCAGAAATTACAGGAGCGCCACGACTTCCACGGTATCTGGGCCCTCCACGAACACTTTGGATCATTTCTCCAGCATGTAGAATAACCACCGTACCCTCACCCGTCTCTGACACATCAACAGATGTTCCCCATATCCCGGATAATCACACTGTTGAAAAATTATCCTTAGTCTGTATTCATTGTCCTGGGGAAGATTTTGTGATATCAACTGTTGTATAAGCGCATCGCTAAAGTACGTCATACCAACGTATAGAAGAATACCAAAATTCTCTAATGATTGTGGTAGATTTGTCCGTGTCAAGTTGAAGGGGAAATCTACCGCGTTCGATGTTTGTTAACTTGGACTGTGCGTGGGTTTGTAGCTCCACCATCAATGAGAAGTTTGGTGGTGGTTGGCTCGCGGTTGGTGGGTAGTTGGTGGGTAACGCATGTGTAGCTTACGATGGTGTGTGACCGAGTAAAGAAAATTAGCTTTATTGGAACATTAACTACACACTATGGCGAGATGGTTGGAACGGTTACAGTTCGTTTAGGTCATGTTTGCGGTGGTGCACTCATGAGCAGTATGATTCTTGTCGTCACCTTTGCCGCAGGCCTTAGTACAACATTCAGAGTGATGCTGAGTTGACCAGCAGGCATAGAATTGAAACTTGCGGGCGGCTGGCGGAGCGGGTGCAGTCGTTAATGTATTGAGTTTATTGGTACGTGCCTCAACTTGTGTCTGTAAGCGATTGACAGGGGCAGCAGCAAGTCGATTCACCGTTGGTGGCTTTATGTTGTTCAGCGGTTCCCATTCTTCAGCATGCACGCAAAGGTCTTGGATAGATATAATGCGGCGGGTGTTGGCAGAACGACTAAGGAGGTAGCCCTTTGTTTGTGTTTGATAGCAATCAGGTATGCCGGAGAGGAACAGATTCTGGGTATAGGCGGGGGAGAAAGCAGTACCCTGTTTGCGTGCATGACGGATCAGCAACTCGCAACGGTAAGTCCATTCTCGCAAAGGTTCGTCATCTGTGCGGCAGAAGCGTCTGAGATATGCATGGTTAATGTGCTTTCTTTCCTTGGCTGAATTGTACTTGAATGGCGTACTAAAGTCGTACTCTGCACTGTAAGATTCGGTCTAATAAAGGCGATACTAATGCCTTAGAAAAAATAAACGCGTAGGTAAATTCTATATATCGTGTAAATATCGATATT